GGAAGATGGAAATTTTTATTGCGCTACGATATTCGTTTCATACACGATTCGAATTTCGAAAAAGGCGGGAGTAAAGCGCGAATCGTTTCGTTTCGTTTCGTTTCGTTTCGTTTCGTTTCGTTCCTCTCGGTGGCAAAATGGCCGGCGATAAATGGCAAGATGTTCGCCGAGATGTTCGCCGATTGGCCGATCGTTCGATCTTCGGGTTGGCCATTAACCGCGGCAAAGATCGAAGGGATCTCTCGATATTTCACGATCGTTTTAATCTCGTTAGACGCTTTTGCCATTCGTTCGTAATGCATCGCGATAATCCATCGATCGATTCGCTCCTCGATCCTTCTGCTCTCCCCTTCCATCCCTCGTTTATTATCCTTCTCTTTTTTATCGATCATCCTTCTATCTCCGCTTTTACTTCTCTCCTCGGATTAATTTTATTCCCTTTTTCGAAGGATCGAGGGATCCTTTCCGAAATACAAATTTTCCGAAATATTTTAAAAAACGGCGCCGTTGTTTGTAACCTGGCTCGACGATGTGCGTGTGTATTGTGTGTATCGAGGTATTTAACTTCCACCAGGTTGCAATTTACATTTCTTGGAAAGAAAGAGGGAGACGCGTTTCTCGTTTTACCAAAGGAATTTAGAAATCGTAAAAACGACGGTATATTTGCAACAATGCGCCGTACTTTTCGCGCAGAATGTCGGCCACGCGCAGGAGGAGGATCATATTTATTCAAACGAGTCGATAAGAAAACTACCGGATGGACTTGTCCCTCCCTCCGGTTGTATTTTCACCTTAACCCATCGAAACGACTCCACCGGTTAATAAATTCGTGGCGACCAGAATTTCTTTCAGCCCCTCTCCATTCTTAGCCCCTCGACGTTTTATGTACCTCATATGTTCATAATGTATCCCTCGTTACTTTCCTTCCGCTTTACTCGATTATACAATTCGATCGAAGAAAAACTTACGAGTTTTCAACAATAATCCCGAATACACGTTCGAATACACATTCTTTCGTAGAAAGTGTCTCTCCTATATGATATTTTCTTTTCGATTAAAATTAATACGGGAAGAGGTTATATGTACACCTATGGGAGAATTTTCACGAAGCAGATGCTCTCGTAACATGCGAAAGACGCGTGGAATGCAAACGGACAAGCGGTATGATTTACGCTTGTTCGTT